TACCATTGCACTCCAGCCTAGGCAACAGAGTGAGATTCCATCTCAAAAAGAAAAAAAAAAGAGAATAAATCTAGTCATGGAAGGGAAAAGACTTGTACACTGAAAACTACAAAACGGTGTTCAAATACATTTTAAAAGACCTGAAAAAATGTAGTTATGATGTTAAGATGGTTCTATTTCCCAATTTGATGTACAGATTCAATACAATCCTTATCAAATCCTACCTTCCCTTTTTGCAGAAATTGACAAGGTAATCCTACAATGTATAAGGCAATTTAAGGGACCCAACTGCCAAAACAATTTGGAAGAAGAAAAAGTTGGAGGATTCACACTTCCTAATTTTAAAAATTACTACAAAGACAACCATGTTGTTCAGTACTAGCATAATGACAGAAATATAAACTAATGGCACATAATTGAGAATTCAGAGTCCAGAAATAATCCCACACATCAATGGCCAATTGATTTTGACAAGGATGCCAAGCCCATTAAAGGGGGAAAAAATAGTCTCTTCAATAAATGGTAGTGGGACAACTGGATTTCTACAAACAAAAAAATACAATTGGATTCCCACCACATGTCATATACATGTGGTGGGAGTCCAATTTTTTTTTTTTTAAGTGACATCTTTTATTTCATTGTTTACTTCACAAGTTGTCTTTAAAACTAAGCACACAGAGAAACAAAGCCTAGAAACGGACTGGCTGTGTGTTCACAGAAATACAAACACCACGAGGTACGTGCTAGTAGGGCTGCTCTGAAGACAATTACAAAGAATTGGAATCACAAAATCAAGTGGTTAACTGAAAATAGATCAAAGACTTGGAAATAACCACACTTCATTAAAATGGAAAACTTTTGTGCCATCTAAAAGGACATTATCAAGAAAGTGAAAAGGCAACCTACGGAATGGGAGAAAACATTTGCAAATCATGTATCTCATAAAGGTTAAATATGTATAAAATATATAAAAAATTCCTAAAACTCAGTAACAAAAAGATATCCATTTCAATAATAGCGAAGTCCAGGTGCAGTGGCTCATGCCTGTAATTCCATCACTGTGGGAGGCTGAGTGGGGAGGACTGCTTGAGGCCAGGAATTCAAGACCAACCTGGATGACATAAAGAGACAAGGTCTCACTTTGTCTCTCAGGCTGGAGTGCAGTGGTGCAATCTCAGCTCACTGCTCTACCTCCTGGGCTCAAGTGATCCGTCCACCTTAGCCTCCCTAGTAGCTGGGACCACCGATGCCAGCCATCACACCTGGAACATTTAAAAAAATTTTTTATAGAGATGGAGTTACACTGTTACTCAGGCTTGTCATGACTCTGAGCACAAGTGTTCTTTCTGCCCTTGGCCTCACAAAGTGCTGAGATTACAGGTGTGAGCCACCATGCCTGCCCCACCCAAAAAAGTTTATTAATTAGTCAGGTGTGGTGGTACACACCTGTAGTCCCAGCCACTGGGCAGGCTGATGTGGGAGGATTGCTTGTGCCCAGGAGTTTGAGGCTGCAGTGAGCTGTGATCATGCCACTCCAGCCTGGACAACAGAGCAAGACCCTATGCCCCAAAATTAAATGGAAAATGAATGAGCTAGGACCAACATTTCTCCAAAGAAGATACACAAATGGTCAATAAGCACATGAAAAGATGCTCAAATAAGTCATGTGGGTAATGCAAAGCAAAACCATGATGAGCTATCACTTTGTACCCACTTAGGATAGCTATATTTTATTTTATGTTTTAATATACAGATGGAGATCTTGCTATGTTGCACAGGCTGGTCTTAAACTCCTAGCCTCAAGTAATCCTCCTGCCTTAGCCTCCCAAAGTGCTGAAATAACAGATGTGAGCCAGTAGGCCTAGCCACCCCCCCCTTTTTTTTTTTTAAGGAAAATAATGAGTATTGGTAAGGATGTAAAGAAACTGGAACACGCACACACTGCTGGTGGGAATGTAAACAGTTCACCTGCTATGGGAAAGAAGTTTGGCAGTCCAATTAAAAGATGGCTGGGCACAGTGGCTCACACACCTATAATCCTAGCACTAACAGAAAAATGGGTTTATCAAGTCCCGGAAAAAAATAAGAAAAGAAAAGAAAAATGGGTTTAAAAGACAAAAAAAGAGAAAAAAGAAAGAAAAAGTCAGTTGGGCAAAGTGGCTCAGGCCTGTAATTCCAGCACTTTGGGAGGCTAAGGCGGGTGGATCATGAGGTCAGGAGTTCAAGAACAGCCTCGCCAAGATGGTGAAACTCCATCTCTACTAAAACTACAAAAATTAGCCAGGCATGGTGGCAGGTGCCTGTAGTCCCACCTACTCCGGAGCTGAGGCAGAGAATTGCTTGAATCGGGAGATGGAGGCTGCAGTGAGCCAAGATCACGCCATCACCCTCCAGCCTGGGTGACAGCGAGACTCTGTCCAATCAATCAATCAATCAATCAATGTTAAACACAGAATTCCCATTTAACCCCACAATTCCACTCTTATGTATATAACCCAAAGAACTGAAATCAGGTACTCAAAAAGTACATGCACATACATACACTATTCACATATGCAAAAGGGAGAAGTAATCCAAATGTGTCCATTAAAAGATGAATATAGAAACAAACTGTGGTATATCTATCTAATGCAATATTCTTCAGCCATGAAGAGGAATGAAGTACTTCTACGTACTACAAGGTGGATGAATCTCTAAAATATTGTGCTGAGTGAAACAAGCCAGACACAAAAGGTAACATATTGTATGACTCTATTTATATTAAATATCCAGAACATGTAAATCTATAGAGACAGAAAATTGATTAGTGGTTGCCAGAGATTGAGGGAATATGGGAATGGAGAGAAATTACTTAATATGTAATGTATTTTAGGTTGGAGTGACGGAAATGCTTAACTACTACATAGAGGTATTAATAGTAGTTGTACAACAATATTATGAATGTACTAAATACTATTGAATTGTTTACTTATTTATTTATTTATTTATTTATTTATTTATTTTTTGAGACGGAGTTTCGCTCTTGTTACCCAGGCTGGAGTGCAATGGCACGATCTCGGCTCACCGCAACCTCCGCCTCCTGGGTTCAGGCAATTCTCCTGCCTCAGCCTCCTGAGTAGCTGGGATTACAGGCACGCGCCACCATGCCCAACTAATTTTTTTGTATTTTTAGTAGAGACGGGGTTTCACCATGTTGACCAGGTTGGTCTCGATCTCTCGACCTTGTGATCCACCCGCCTCGGCCTCCCAAAGTGCTGGGATTACAGGCTTGAGCCACCGCGCCCGGCTACTTATTTATTTATGAATGAATGACACAGTCTTGCTCTGTCATCCAGCTCAGTGCAGTAGCATGATTGCAGCTCACCATAACTTCGATCTCTTGGGCTCAAGGGATCTCCTTGAAAATTGTTTACCTTAAATGGTTACTTCTATGTATGTGAATTTCATCTTAATAAATTCTTTCTTTAAAAAATGGGGAAGTTCTTGGACTCTAGAATGCTGATTCTAAAAGCTAAAATCAAAAATTATCTAGCCTATACACCATCGAAATCCAATTAAATAAAAATTTTCAGGATTTTTTTTTTTTTTTTTGAGACGGAGTTTCGCTCTTGTTACCCAGGCTGGAGTGCAATGGCGTGATCTCGGCTCACCGCAACCTCCGCCTCCTGGGTTCAGGCAATTCTCCTGCCTCAGCCTCCTGAGTAGCCGGGATTACAGGAACGCACCACCATGCCCAGCTAATTTTTTGTATTTTTAGTAGAGATGGGGTTTCACCATATTGACCAGGATGGTCTCGATCTGTTGACCTTGTGATCCACCCGCCTTGGCCTCCCAAAGTGCTGGCATTACAGGCTTGAGCCAACACGCCCGGCCCCTTCAGGATTCTTTTTAATAACTTCTCCACATGATTCTGATATATGGCCAAATTTGGGCATGTCAATACTTAGGAAACATTTTCCTTATACCTTAAAATGTTAACAGAAAATGCATAAGATCTGCAAATCCAAGAATTACATAAATATGCATAAAATACTGCTTGTGACAAATTATTTATAAACCAGAGCTCATTCTGAAAAGTACAAATTCAGTGGCCTAAATACTACCATGTTCTAAATGATGGCTTATGTATCATATAGGTAAACCTATAATATATGTATATCCCCATTAAATTTTATAATAAAAAAGCATTTAAACCTTTAATAATGTATATTATGAAATCACATTTGCTAGGTAAAATTTCAACATCAAATCAGAATAAGAATCTTCGGCTGGGCACGGTGGCTCAAGCCTATAATCCCAGCACTTTGGGAGGCTGAGGTGGGTGGATCACAAGGATAAGAGATCGAGACCATTCTGGCCAACAAGGTGAAACCCCGTCTCTACTAAAAAAAAAATACAAAAATGAGCTGAGCATGGTGGTGCGTGCCTGTAATCCTAGCTACTCAGGAGGCTGAGGCAGGAGAATTGCCTGAACCCAGAAGGCGGAGGTTGCGGTGAGCCGAGATCACGCCATTGCACTCCAGCCTGGGTAACAAGAGCGAAACTCTGTCTCCAAAAAAAATAAAGAATCTTCAGGTTTCCATTGATTTCCTACCTTATTCATCTGGGCCATATAAACCAAGATGAAACAGAGAGACTTCAGGAGGTCTACAAGAGTATTTTTCACAAACTTTTCTCCAACATTCCAGAAATAAGGAATGTTTTACAAGTCAATTACTGATTACTTCTTTTAATTTAAAAAAAAAAAAAACATAAGAAAACAAATGTATTTTGCCAGGTACCAATGAGAAGTTATTTGTGTCAACTTATCCTAGTAGCTAAAGCAAAATATTAGATATTTCTGAATAGGTAATAAGAAAGCATTTAATATTCAACTGAAGAATGCTTTAAATGAATTGAAAGATAAATATTTTATACAGGTATTTTCTTAAAGATAATTTAGTAAAATCATGTCAATTTTACATCTGTAATTGGCAACATAAATGTCTGCCAAAAACACATTTTTTTTTTTTCAGGGAATAAACACTTTATTTTAAAAATTCAAATATGCTTCAAATGAAAACTCCTGTCCATTTATTAAGCACCCACAGAGTGCCAGGCACTATACAAAACATTAAAAAGATTTGTTCATGCTCTTTTAGAGCAAAATCCACTATTCCGTTGCACTTGGTGTAATGCTGACATTTTAGATCCATTGTCATAAAACAACCAAGATCTTCAAGACTTGCTCAAGAAACAAGTTTCCAATCCACAGTAGAAACAGATCATGCAGGTTTATGCAGAAGTCAACTGGTGATGTCTGTCAACTATTTCACTTAATGTCCTCTCCCTCTGAAACCACCACCCCCTCTTCCTCCTCGGAAGCCCCCACCTCCACCTCCTCTTCCACCTCTAAAACCACCGCCTCTGCCACCACCTCTGCCACCTCCTCCTCGGCCTCCTCCTCGGCCTCCCCTGCCACCACCTCTTGGAGGTCCTTTCTCACCAGGAGGTCGAGGTAAAAACCTCTGCAGTGGCAGCAGCTTATATGGGTCTATATAAAACTTCTGTAGTTTTTTAAAGGATGAAGCCTTCATATTTTCTGACAATTTAACTGAAAAATAAAAATCTCTAAGTTGTCCAAATATTTCATCCACTTTTCCAATTTGTTCTTTGTTTTCTAAGTAAACAGGAGCATTGAAATAAGGCACTTTATTTTCATCTGTGGTACATTTGCGAACTATGTCATCTTCACAGGGATGCAGGAACTCTCCTAATAAGACTACACGTTCTGGAGGTCCTTGGTCTTGGCCTTTGTTAAAGCCTCCGCGGCCACCCCCTCGTCCAAATCCTCCCCTGCCGCCGCCTCTGAAATTGCCGCCGCCTCCGCCACCGCCTCCACCTCCACCTCGGAAGTGGTTGCTGCTGCTGCCACGGCTGAAGCCGCCACCTCCACCACCTCGATTAAAGCCTCCACGACCTCCGCCTCGAAAAGACATTCTCTTCACTCCCGGAGCCACGTGCACCTCTGGTCCCGGCCTTGCGCGCGCACACACCCCCAAAAACACATTTTAAAAATTGAACACTGTGGCCGGGCGTGGTGGCTCATGCCTGTAATCCTAGCACTTTGGGAGGCTGAGGTGGGTAGATCACCTGAGGTCAGGAGTTTAAAACCAGCCTGGCCATCATGGTGAAACCCCATCTTTTTTTTAAAAAAAAAAAAGAAAGAAAAAGAAAAAAAAATTGAACACCATAAATACTGGTAACATAATACAATTTTTTTCCCTTTAATTTTAAAGGTTATATGTCACGAGGTAGGTGACAATGCCTTAACTATGCATGTTCTTGTGCCCGAGGGCCTCTTCCATCCTTGTGAAGAGGAATGTTAAGCTTCTTTCCTTTCATACAACAGCTAACAAAACCTTAACACAGCACTCAGCATCTTTATGTAAGTTAAGATCACAGAATTCAAGCATGTTGCTTTTGGTGACTTAAAAACCCAAAGTAGGGTTTGGTGCACTTACAGGAATACACAGCAGCTATGGACAACAAATATATGTTTGTTTGTTTTAAAGAGTCTCACTCTGTCACTCAGGCTGGAGTACAGTGGTGCAATCTCAGCCCACTGCAGCCTCTGCCTCCCGGGATCAAGCCAAAAATACAGATGCTCACTACCATGCTCAGCTAACTTTTATATTTTTAGTAGAGACGGGGTTTCACCATAATGGCCAGTCTGGTCTCGAACTCCTGACCTCAAGTGATCTGCCCGCCTCAGCCTTCCAAAGTACTGGGATTACAGGTGTGAGCCACCAAGGTGTGCCTAAACATTTTAATTAAGTTTCCTTTAATTAACATTTCCTTAAATGTTTTAAGTTTCCTGTTCCATACATTAAACCAAATAAAGCCTATAGTTCAGTTAATAATATTGAACCAAATTTATTACTTTTAATAAATGTACCAAGATTATAGAAGATTTTAACATTAGAGGAAGCTGAATAAAAGGTTATGTGTAAGCTGGGCATGGTGGCTCATGCTTCAAAAAAAATTAAAAAATAAAATTTTTTTTAAAAAAGGTATGTGTAACAACAATAAAAAAAGGTATGTGTAAACTTTTTGCACTATTTTTGCAACTATTATTTAAATTTCCCCAAATTCATATCCTGAAGCTCAAACCCCCAATATTGATGATATTGGGAGAAAAGGCCTTAGGGGTTAATTAGGGTTAAATGAGATCATGAGGGCGGGGCCCTGGTCTGACTGGATTAATATCCCTATAATAAGAGACACCAAAGTAACAGAAAGAAGGCAGCCTACAAGCCATGAAGAAAGCTCTTCATCAGAAACAGACCATGCTGACCCTTTAATTTTGGACTTACAGCCTCTAAAACTGTGAAAAAGTAAATTTTTGTTTAAACCACCAAGTCTGATACTTTGTTCTGGCAGCCCAAGCTGAATAAAAACATATCTTAAGAAAAACATATCAAAACAGTATGGTCTATTTAAAATCATTAAAACATTTAAAAATACCATGCCCCATGGGCCGGGAGTGGTGGCTCACACCTGTAATCCCAGCACTTTGGGAGGCCAAGGCAAGGCGGATCACGAGGTCAGGAGTTTGAGACCAGCCTGGCCAACATAGTGAAACCCCATCTCTACTAAAAATACAAAAATTAGCTGGGCATGGTGGCACACGGGAGAACTGCTTGAACCCAGGAGGCAGAGGTTGCAGTGAGCTGAGATGGCACCACCGAACTCCAGCCTGGGCAACAGAGTCTAAGACTTCGTCTCAAAATAAAAGGGGAAAAAAAAAAAAAAAAAAGCAACCGCATGAGAGAACATAAACCAGGGGGGAAAAAAAAGGAGAAGACGACGACTGATGGATCACTTGAGGTCAGTCAAGACCACCCTGGCATGGTGAAACTGTCTCTACTAAAAATACAGTAACTAGCTGGGTGTTGTGGCAGGTGCCTGTAATCCCAGCTACTTGGAAGACTGAGGCAGGAGAATCAATTGAACTTGAGAGGCAGGAGGTTGCAGTGAGCTGAGATCACACCATTGCATCCAAGCCTGGGTGACAGAGTGAGACAATGTCTCAAAAATAAATAAATGAAATAAAAATAAATAAATAAGGCTGGGCGTGGTGGCTCAAGCCTGTAATCCCAGCACTTTGGGAGGCTGAGGCAGGTGGATCACGAGGTCAAGAGATCGAGACCAACCTGGTCAACATGGTGAAACCCCGTCTCTACTAAAAATACAAAAAATTAGCTGTGCATGGTGGCATGTGCCTGTAATCCCAGCTACTCAGGAGGCTGAGGCAGGAGAATTGCCTGAACCCAGAAGGCGGAGGTTGTGGTAAGCCGAGCTCACGCCATTGCACTTCAGCCTGGGTAACAAGAGCAAAACTCCATCTCAAAAACAAACAAACAAACAAATAAATAAATAAATAAATAAAAATAAAAATACCTCCACGTAACTGGAAACCACCACCAAATTTAAAAAACAAAAGAGAAGAGAAGAAAAAAGAAAGAAAAATAGCATGCCCTAATACTACTGGGATAGTAGTCAAATCGGTACATCCTTAAAATGCTGGTGGCTACAGAAATAAGTATGTTTTGAGAATCAACTGGGTAAAGAATAAAGAATACTCTCCAGAACTAGAAGCTAAAGTGAAATAGTAAAACATTTTTACCTGGGCTACCAAGTAGCCTAAAATATACTATCTTACTGTTATAAGACAGTTATGTCATAACTGCATTGATGACATTACACTCTGTACAGAAAAAATTAGGTATATTACTTCAAAAAAAATTCCAAAATCTTTATCACCTTTTCAAAAAAGTTCCATACTGTGTAACTATTAATAAAATGATCAAATATTTCTCTGAACTTTCCCCCTCAATTTTGTGATGAACCCAAAACTGCTCTAAAAATATCTATTATAAAAAATGTTTAGTAATGAACAGTGAAATTCTATGTGTTGCCCTATCTGTGAAGTCTGTAGTAAAGAAAGTGTTATATGAACTCATTGTAATACAGTTTGTGAAGAATATGGTGCTCATTAGTTGTCTACTTTTTAACAATATGACCAGAATGTAACCTGCAACGTATATTTTAAGGCTCATTAAACACAGTGCAAAGCAGAAAGGAAACAGACTGTGCAGTACAATCACTGATGACAAATTCCTATCATATTTCCTTAGTTTTCCTAGTTTTTATATTAATGTTTTCACAAACAGGGTAATAATGAAAAAATACACACACACACAAAGTCACTGCAGCTTCAACCTTCTAAGCTCAAGTGACCCTTTCACCTTAGCCTCCCAAGTAGCTGGGACTACAGGAATGTGCCACTATGCCTGGCTAACTTGCCTTGGCCTTCCAAAGTGTTGGGATTATAGGAATAAGCCATTGTGCCAGTCGACAACAACAACAACCATTAAAAAAAAAAAAACTGCTAGTCTGATGGTAGTGGGTTATCAGCACTTATTAACATTAGCATCACCAAAGTTGGTATATAATCCCTCAATGCTAAATTTGACTGGCTTTTAAAAAAAACATTTTTTTTGTTTGTTTTTGCAGCTTTAACTCAAAGGAGAAGACAATTTAAAAATAAATTCGCTCATGTAACACAGCAGATATTTACAACTTTTTGGGTGCTGCAGTAATATGTCTATGCATATATTTAATAAACTGTGACCAAAGTGCTGGTCTTTTTATTTTTATTTATTTTTGAGACAGAGTCTCACTCTGTTGCCCAGGCTGGAGTGCAGTGGTACCATCTCGGCTCAATGTAACCTCTGCCTCCCGGGTTCAAGCAATTCTCATGCCTCAGCCTTTTGGGTAGCTGGAATTACAGGGGTGCACCACCATGCCCAGCTAATTTTTTCTATTTTTAGTAGAGGTGGGGTTTCACTGTGTTGGCCAGGTTGGTCTCGAACTTCCTGGCCTCAAGTGACCTGCCCGCCTCGGCCTCCCAAAGTGCTGGGATTACAGGTGTGAGCCACAGCGCCCGGCCCGAGAAGAGTTTCTCATGACTCCTTTGACAACATCAAATTTAATTCCTAACTATGATTTATCACTTCTTCCCCCCTCCCCAGACAACAGAGTCTTGCTTGGCCTATCACTTTTTTTTTTTTTTTTTTTCAGATGGAGTTTTGCTCTTGTTACCCAGGCTGGAGTGCAATGATGGTGCAATCTTGGCTCATAACAACCTCTACCTCCTGGGTTCAAGCAATTCTCCTGCCTCAGCCTCTTGAGTAGCTGGGACTACAGGCACGCACCACCATGCCCAGCTAATTTTTGTATTTTTAGTAAAGACGGGATTTCACCTTGTTGACCAGGATGGTCTCAATCTCTTAACCTTGTGATCCACCGGCCTCGGCCTCCCAAAGTGCTGGGATTATAGGCATGAGCCACCGCACCAGCCCCATCACTTCTTTAAAACCAAAACACTTATGCATAGAAAATATCTTCATATTTATGGGACATGCATGCACTTTATTGTAGAAAAATTAATTATGAATATGCAAACAATTTATAAATTATGATCTAATGCTAAATCTTGAAAGAACTTAATAGCCTACGTACAGGAAAAAAAAAAGTGGAAAGAGGAGTTTAACCAACCTGCCTACACTTCATTGCTGTAGAGCTTTGACTCCTTTACCCTATTCTTTGTTTCTTTTTTGAGAGGTGTTTGAGAATTAAATAACTGAGATGGAAACAGTATGCACACGGTTTTAAGAGTAATTAGCTCTCAATGGCAAGACAAAAACTTAGTCCTTCTCACTTCTGTCTTGCTGTCTAAAATCTATACATACCAAATAACTGTAAAGGCAAAAAACCTTTAATTATTAGACTAGGACACTGTTATGGTCTAAATTTTGGTGTCACCTATGAATGGGATTAGCACCCTTATAGAAGAGGCAAGAGAGAACTCCCTTGCCCCCTTTTCCCCACAAGGATGCAACAAAACAGGTGCCATCTATGAAAATCAGGCCCTCAACAGAACAAATCTGCTGGTGGCTTGATCTTGGAATTCCTAGCCTCCAGAACTATGAGCAACAAATTTCTGTTGTTTATATATTACCCAGTCTAAGTTATTTTCCAATAGCAACCCAAATGTACTAAGACACCAAAATACTTCTGTGAGTACTGAACTCAGTTTGAACTTAGGGAACAATGAATTATTTCTACAGACTCTTTCCTACAAAAGGATGATAACGTTGTTACACAGAACAGTATATTCATTGTTGTTTCTATGTCAAATATTAAACAATATTTAGAAAGCTTATTTCTAAAAAGAAAACTACGTATTATTTAAGTACCAGTCTGTCCTGTTTGAAAAGGAAAACTTAAGATGTCTTATACAAAAAAACAGATTGTGGAAAATGACACAGCCTCCCCAGTATGCTC